AGTTTTTGTTTTTTTTTCTTTTTGTTTGTTTGTTTGTTTGTTTGTTTTTAAAGAACACACTCTCTCTACATCCTTCAGTCTCTCCAGTGGCAGGATCTTTGGTTCACTGTAGAGACCTGGTATGATATTTGAGTCATCTGAAAGATTGCCCACATCTGTACCTGAACTGGGCCATGATTTGGAGAATTTTTTTTTTTTTTTTTTTGGAAGTGTATGTTGTGTTTTTTTGAGCACGTGCAAATGTTAAGCAATGCTGCGTGCATTGCTAGGCTTGAAGGTTAGAGACAGCGCTCACATGGATGGCAGGGTGCCTCCCCTCCCCTGTCAACTCTCCCCTCCCCCCTTCTGTTTACTGAGCTTCCGAGAGGTTGCTTTGCTAGCAGTTGTGCTCACGTAGCAACTTGAGCCCAGAGCTCACTCAGGCTGATGTATATGGCGTCAGCTGGGGAATAGCTGCTCTAAAGACTCATTAGCAGACCTCTCTCTCTCTCAGCCCCATACAGTTCCTTTTGCTATTTCCTATTTTTAGTGAGAAACTTTCTTATTCACTGTGTCCTGAGACCATCCCGTAAGACACAGTTTATTCTGATTATTCTTCATCATTACCTTTTCCAGTTTTTCACAGGCCCCCTTAGAATGATTCCCTATGGAGGCAAATCAATTTAGAGGCCCCTGTTTGCACCTTGTGATCTTTTTGTCCTTGGGTTTCTCCATGGCTCGCTTTCCTTTCACATCTACCTAGGGTTGGAGCATTGGACTATTTTTTCCATTGCTTAGGCTTAATTTTGGATCTGTCTATAAATAGTCTTAACATGAACAGCACCACATGTAGCCTTTCAACTTCCCAGAAATACATTCTCCATCAGTCGTTATGACCTGGGTAAAATGATGCTTTCTGTATCCCTGAGTATACATCCCGGGCCTTAAACGTGTGAGCCAAAAGGGAAATTCATACATCATTCGTCAAATCAAATATCACTTCTTTGGCGTAACAGCGATCAAAAAGTCAAGTCACTTCATGTTCTCATCTATTCTTAATCCAGTGTTTCTCCAAATATTATTTGGAAAAAAGTGGCATGGGAGCCCTTTTTTTTTAGGAGTCCTTTTTCCAGATGTTCCTGAATTGCTTGTTTCTAGTGAGCAAAGAGTAGGAGAAGAAATTTTCTGCTTGGCTAAATCCACAGGGGCATGTTGCAGGTTGATAGTAAAGACAGTCTTGCTGATGGATTAAGGCAGTTGCTTCCCAGACTTCGGCAGGTTCTTGACTTTTGCTGTATCACCAAGTCCACAAGTCTTAATACGTATGATATATGAGCACACATATACGTGTATACCTCTGTTTGGGGGCATATCTGTTTGAAGTGACAAAAATTTCCATTTTTCCAAAAGGGGGGGGGAACCTCTTTTTCCTTTTCCAGGAAAAATGGTAAAATTTCTAAATGATGCTCCACATGTGGAACCAATTCTTTCATTAGCATTGGAAATAAGACAATAGTAGGGGCTCAATACAGGCTATTTTCAAGATTCTAAATGTGGAGAGCTATTCATAGGAGACTGATATTGTGTGATTTGTGGAATTCAAACAAATGTCTTGGTGTCAAGATTTTTGGGAAGCCATAATTCAGCCTTTAGATTTCATTTGGTTGTTACAGTTTAATCTAGAAATGCTACAGAAGTAAGTCCCAAGAAATTTGAGACTGCACTCACGGCCCCTAATGGTAACTGATGAAAGGATTGTTTGGACTTGTAAAAAAGGAAATTTCTTGGGATCAGCCTTCTGAAAAAACTTACCAAGGTCCATCACAATTCTAAGACACAAGCATTGTTTTTAAAAGCTTCCACTCCTTTGGCAAAATACACCTGCATTTGGTGCTTTGTTGTATCTGTCTCTGTGTAAGAGAGCTTCGCTGTTCCACATGAGCCAGCAACGCTGAAATCATTGTTACAAGAAAGAAAAAAAAAAAATTCTTTCCATGTCCGGAGTCTAGAACCCTGAAGAATAAGATTCTTCTTTTCTTCTGTCCAAGTGCAAACTTCATAGCACAGCAGACAAAACATTGAGCAGGTGGAAGGGTGGGAAAGCACAGTAACTTCTTTTTATAAAGTAATTCAAAGGCACTTTCAAATCGGGCATCATTTAGGTGTCAAAAGCTGCCAAAATGTAACACACATTGCAATTTTCACAGATGACTAATCTCAGGAAAAATGTGTTGGGGCACATTCTTGCATAATAACTTGGATATAGAAGGAGAAGTCAAGAGGCTCCAACAAGGCATTTGCAAAGACAATACACCTTCCCTCTTCTTAAAGGGATGCAAGAAGCCCCAGACAAAAGATTTGATTTACTTGCTTGTGACTAGCCTGGCTGAGCGTGGTGGTGTTAACTCCTTAAACTTCAAGCGATTCTGGGGAAAAGAAAAAGTGGTGTTTTCATACTCAGCTTCAACAGATTTCTGATCCTCCCTGTATTGCTCATTTCTCCCTTCATTGCGAGAGATAACTGGATTTCTGGAGAAGTGGAGTGCCATCTTATCTTTTGAGTTCTAGGGTCCATTTCATATATGTTTGGGAAGGGACACACCATAGATTTTCTCTCACGCATTTGTTAAATAAGGAAAAAAAAAAATGTTTACTTGGGGCCTAGATGGAAAGTTAAAGCAAACAGATAGGCTTTTTTATTTATTTATTTATTTATTTTTACCTAGAGTTAGAATGAGGCAACAAGAGAAGTCTGAAAACTCCTGTTTGCTCATGTCGTGTGAAGGTGGGTGCCTTTTCCATAGGAACCCATGACAAACAATCGGACTTGCAGTGAAAGTAAGCTGACTGGCATTTGTGTGCTACTCTGATTACAAAGTTGTCTCCGCTTGAAGGGACACAACCACGGATCTCCAAAGAAGGAGTGACTGCCTTATCTAAATCCGCTAAAGACCTGGTCCTTGGGCACAAAGCTGCTTACATCCTAGTCTGTCATTACACATGGCAAGGCCATCTCTGGAGAATTTCAGGACTCTCATTGCTAGGCAACAGAATGACTCTCTATCCCCCTGAGCAAATCTGTGTCTTCAAGTCAGAATCGCTTGCACTAACAGAGATGTTATCGGGCATTTCTGCACAGTGGCTGCCTCCAGTGTGCAGTGGGATGGAGCAAGTCCCAACAGCCTCCAGAAGTCTGGACCTTCCAGCATCCCTTTCGCAGCATCTGAAGGCCTCTGTGCTCAGTATCATCACTGAACAACAACAAAAAAGTCTGTCTTTCCTGTTGTCAACCTTGTCATCATCAAGGGCTCCAGTGGCTTCCTAGGACACACGTGCGGCCCATTGCAAGGCTGCACTCATATGAAATGTGGTCTAGACATGGCCTGGTCCTAAGAGAGCTGTGATGGTTCCTAATATTTGAAAGTCAGTCTTCTGTTTCGTAACTTGAAAACCTAGCAAGGCGAGGAAACTGAAGAGGAGAGGAGAGCTGTGAGACAGTTGTGGAAAATAGAATATTCTAGATCAGTGGCAAAGGAAAATAAAGGAAGAGGGACCTTGACCTGTGGTTGAGTGACTAGCACAGTTCACTCATCTATGTGTGACAGCTATGTGATTTGAAATACAGTCTTCAAAAATCTTCCTGAGGGACCAAGAAATTAAAACCCCTACAACTTATTGCAAAACATATTTAGAGCTGATTCTGTGCTTTTGTTAGGATAGGATTGGTTACCTACACAGTGGGACTGTACTAACAAAGACTGTTTTTGTAACCCCCAAATCTCTTTTCTTTCAGGACATGTACACTTGATGTCAGCTGAGTTACCAAGGTAGCTCTGCATGTGAGTAAACCAACCTTCGTAGACTCGCAAGGTCCCCGGCTGGAGACACCCATCTGTCCTCATTTTTTTTTGTGTGTGTGTGTCCCCGCTGAACATTCAAAACTGTTTCTCCAAAGGGTTTTGCAGAAACTCAGACTGTTTTCCAAAGCAGAAGCACTGGCGTCCCCAGCAGAAGCGATGGGCAGTGTGCGAACCAACCGCTATAGCATTGTTTCCTCCGAAGAAGACGGCATGAAGTTGGCTACCATGGCGGTGGCCAATGGCTTTGGGAATGGAAAGAGTAAAGTCCACACTCGGCAACAGTGCAGGAGCCGGTTTGTGAAGAAAGATGGCCACTGTAACGTGCAGTTCATCAACGTCGGGGAGAAGGGACAGCGCTACCTTGCTGACATCTTCACTACGTGTGTGGACATTCGCTGGCGGTGGATGCTGGTGATCTTCTGCCTGGCTTTTGTTCTCTCGTGGCTGTTTTTTGGCTGTGTGTTCTGGTTGATAGCTCTGCTCCACGGAGATCTGGATGCGTCTAAGGAGAGCAAAGCTTGTGTGTCTGAAGTCAACAGCTTCACAGCCGCCTTCCTCTTCTCCATTGAGACCCAGACAACCATCGGCTACGGGTTCCGCTGCGTCACCGACGAGTGCCCGATTGCCGTTTTCATGGTCGTGTTCCAGTCCATCGTGGGCTGCATCATCGATGCTTTTATCATTGGCGCGGTCATGGCAAAGATGGCCAAGCCGAAGAAGAGAAACGAGACTCTCGTCTTCAGCCACAATGCTGTGATCGCCATGAGAGACGGCAAGCTGTGCTTGATGTGGCGGGTGGGCAATCTGCGCAAAAGCCACTTGGTGGAAGCTCACGTCCGAGCACAGCTCCTCAAATCCAGAATTACTTCTGAAGGGGAGTACATCCCTCTGGATCAAATAGACATTAACGTTGGCTTTGACAGTGGAATTGACCGTATATTTCTGGTGTCCCCAATCACTATCGTCCACGAAATAGATGAAGACAGTCCTTTATATGATTTGAGTAAGCAGGACATTGATAACGCAGACTTTGAAATTGTTGTGATACTAGAAGGCATGGTCGAAGCCACCGCCATGACGACACAGTGCCGCAGCTCCTATTTGGCCAATGAGATCCTTTGGGGACACCGCTACGAGCCAGTGCTCTTTGAGGAGAAACACTACTACAAAGTGGACTACTCAAGGTTCCACAAAACTTATGAAGTACCCAATACCCCCCTTTGTAGTGCCAGAGACCTAGCAGAAAAGAAATATATCCTCTCCAACGCTAATTCATTTTGTTATGAAAATGAAGTGGCCCTCACAAGCAAAGAGGAAGACGACAGTGAAAATGGAGTTCCAGAGAGTACCAGCACAGACACTCCCCCCGACATTGACCTTCACAACCAGGCAAGTGTTCCTCTCGAGCCCAGGCCCTTGCGGCGAGAATCGGAGATATGACTGACCAATTCGTTCTCTGGAAAATTTCCATAAGTACACAGTGTGTTGGTCAGAGGCCCGAAACAGTTACACAGACCACGGTACTGGTCAGGAGGTGGGGCGAGGCAGGTGGCCACAAGAGACTGAGGCTAGCACGAGTGGTTTTGAGAAAGACTGTGAGCCCGATGATTTAAGTCAAGTACTCAACAGGCCTCCATGTGACTCAATGGCACATATGTGTTATACAATAAGTTATGGGTTTTTAATGTATTGTTTTGTGTTTTTACAAAACTTGAATTTGCAGGCAAGCTTTGGTTGGGTATTTGACTTATCCAGAATGCTTCTGTTTAGGGAACAAGAATGTTTTTAATGGCATAACAAAGGCAAGACTTTGCCTTAATTTTTGAAAAGCTGCTAACTACATGAACACAAATGGTATTTTTGTTGTAGTGTAGTTTTTCTTTTATGTAATTTAAAAGTCAGTGTTGAACTTTGTCGGAGGCTCATGATGCACTGCAAAGTGGCAAGTATTTGGCTATTAGCTGCCAAAGTGAGAGCCTGATTTTTTGAGGCCAGTAATTAGTTTGCTAGAATTGATCTCTCTCTCATATTCTCTCTCTCTCTCTCTCTCTCTCTCTCTCTCTCTCTCTCTCTCTCTCTCTGTCTGTCTCTCTCTGTCCTCTCTCTCTTTTTCTCTTCGGTTACATAAGGGCATTATGTAACACTAGCCAAATGGTAGCCTCTGGGTTTTTTTTTTTTTTTCCTTTCTCTTCAGGATATTAATGGGTTATCTCAAATTTTCAGTTAGACTACCTAAATGGATACCAAAGATAATGCACATTTTTGCACAACGGAGCTTACACTAGAAAGAGAAGAAAGCCCCACGGCTTGCCTTGAAATCAAGAGACAGTAACTTTGAACCTCAGCAAGACCTTGCAATGCCTGTGCATTTGGCACCTTATTCAGAAAACTTTACAACAAAGACAGAATCTAGTAAGTGTAGTGCTTTTCAAATTTTGTCTTTTTGCAAGTACCCTTCTTATTGGAAGAAGAAGAATAAAGAGAAAGGACAATCCACATAGGAACAGCAGCTTTTGGTTTCCCTCCTGTGGGTCATGCTCCCCTGATTAACACGAACAGTCGGCAATGAGACCACGCTCTTAGCCTTGCCTGGACCCCCCCTTATTTTTTTTTTTTTTCACATTCCAACACTTTTCCATAAGATAAGGTCTCAGTTGGGCTTTGCCTGTCCACTCGCTTCTTCCCACAGGGGCCATCCAGCATTAAATGGCAGTAGAGTGAAAGAAACATTTGTACCTGAATTCATAGCCTTGGCTGTCAGGACATTTCTAGCTTGGCATCACCTTAGAAAAGATACCATGCCTGGCCTCTTAGTCAGTTTCTCTGCTCAGCCTGTCTGGAGGGAGACCTGCAGGGCGGAAGCTGGCCACAGGGGCTGCAGCAGGGAGGTGTAGACAATCCTCTAAGATGTAACTCTTGAGCTCAAGTATCCACAAACTTCAGGAAAATTGCTTCTCCTTATTTTTATTGCAGAGGGCAGAAATGAAAATGTTTCAGTATTTTAGGATCAAAGAGAGTCAGTGAAAGCGTAATAGCCCGGAAGGATTATTTCCTTCTGCGTGTACATATGCACGATGATCACTGTGAGCCGAAATATTACTTTGTGACACTCTAGAGCAGGTTTCTAAGGACACACTGTTTTTGAGAAGTCTCTCTTGCTTGGCTGCTTGCCTTGCTAGAAACACTCCTCTCCCCCAGCTCAATAAGGAAAGTCTTTTGGTTTAAATTTCCCTATTTGTGAATTCTGGGGCTCCTGACTTTTCTTTTTAATTGGAGTCTCAAAATCAACTCTCTTGTGGTATTATATCCTGGTATGCCATTAAAAAACAGCTTGTTCTAGAATCCTGTACTTTGTAAATTGATGTGTGTGATGGTCTCTGGTGTTTGACAGCCATATATGAATGCAGTACCTGCAGAAATATGACAGATTCTGCTGTTTCCGGCCTTCCACTTTGATGGGTTTGAAAGCCATGGGTTATTTCCATTGAAACCAAGAAAGAGAGGTTAAGCAAGTGGATGTTATTTAAAAATCCAAAGTTAAAGGCAGGTTGGGGAAGTTGTTTAAGGACTCGGAGGAAATAGGGAGGAGATAATTTATAGAACCGACAATAATTTGGCCTTTGACTGTCAGAGGCTACTGAGGGCTTTAGCTGCTGCTATGATGATGTTTTGCAAAGGAAAATAATCAAACCAAAGAGTATTCAGTGACATATAAATTAAAGGAAGACGCAGAGGAGAGTGAGGGTGATCACAGGGGGAGGCCCTCCTCCCAAACACACAGCGTTACCACTTCAAAAGACTTGAGACAGTCAAGGGGAGTGTGTCCAGGGGTGAGAAATAGGAAGGGAAACTCTTTCAACTGATTTCTGAAAAGGAGACAATAAAATCTAAAATCTCTGGTGCACAGGTTTGTTTTTCTTTTTTCAAAGAGAATTTTGCAGAAGCTACGTTTTTAAAGTGTACATTTTATAAAGTTTATCAGATATTTTCATATTTAAAGCCAAATGTAAATAGAAGTGTGTGAAGCAAAAAGAAAAAAAAAAAAAAAGGAAAAAGAAAAAAAAAAAAAAAAAAAAAACGCCATAGAAAGTATAATTTCCATGCAGCGATTTCTGAAAGCTAGTACCTATATGCTACCGGTGAGCATGGTTTCAGCAAATATTTACCAGCCTTCTAAGGTTCGTATTGCTATGTTCTTCTGTTATTTATTTCAGCATGGACTGTTCGTTTGAAAGCTTTTCATAGTTACTAGCATTTTAATCGTTACAAGCTTTAAATGGCTATTTTGTTGTTGTCAAGAGCCAAGACACAGGTAATGCACGACATTTATTGCTGCATCTTACCTTCAAAATAGTTGTCCTTATCGACTGGGTCTCCTTAGCTAGTGCAAACCTGTCACTAGACTGCAGATGGAAGGGACTCACCTAGAATATCTGGGATGCATTCCCAGATGTGTGCTGCTTCTCTTTTGTAAGCAAATCCCTAATGAATTTCCTTAGGATGGATTCCCTTTTAAAGAATGTTTGCCCATATCTGGATGGGTATTATATTTGGGGGGGCGGGTTGTGGTAGATTCCTGGTTATTCTATTTTTAAATAAGACGTAGACAAAGTGAATTCTATTTTGATTATTGAGAAAGGAATAGTTTTCTATCCCTCTAAGAGTATACTTGAATCAGACATTTTAAGGATGTCACCGTCACACTGTAGTCATTTCCGGATTCCTACAGGACGTTTGTTTTCCTTGGTTGTTGTTCCGTTCATGCATTACTTCTTTCGTTTATTTCTTTTCTTCCCTGCATACTCTCATCTCAAATCTGGTTGTGTATTTGAAGAACTGTGTGCCCTCAGTCGTATTCCTCCTGCGTATAATAAAATTGAGTTCATTTTCTAATAAGCCATTTGGTACAGGCAAAAAAGAAAGAAAAAAGAAAAACGTAGCTTGTCCTGAATAGAGTGAGCTCTTTTTCACTCTGTGTCTAATAATGTCAAGGGGGAAATTAAAAAGTGTTGCATTGTCGTGTTCCTACCCCCAGCCTTCAGCGAACTAGAATTTCCATTCTAGTGTTGAGAGGTTTCAGCTCTGGGGTCTGGTGAGTTGAACAATTTTGGCCTTTGACAATCATGTTAGTTATTATTTTCCCATTTGCCATCTTTTTTGTACCTACAGTCTTCCTATTGTACTGCACAAACCATGGATTGTACATATTTTTATATATTATGTTTTATTTTATTATTTCTAAATAAAAAAATTAAAAATTGAAAATGAATTTGTGCAAGAATCGTCTGTGCCCCTACATAACTACTCTGGAAACACTGAAACACAAAACGAGTGGTCCCAAGCAATAGTACAAAACCCCTGAGAGTTTGACTCAATAGGAGCATGGAAATGGTCTGAATGCACTGGTGCAGTGGAGTGACAGGTTAGTTTAACCCAAGTTAGAGGAAGTCAAGTTCACATTTTGTTTTGGACAGAAGGATCTAGATAGAAAGGGGATAGAAAGACCAAAATTAACCAAACAAAGCTGACATAAATAGTATTGGGGGAGATTTCAATTTACTATGCAATAATTACAATTACCTTTTTTTTTTTTTTTAAAAAAAAAAAAAGCATTTAGTACATTTTAGGGATTACAGGGTCTGACTACACGTATCGGACTTATAGTGATTCTGTTTTCAGCTTCCCAAGTGCTGAGATTACAGGCACGCACCACCACGCCTAGTCTCAACACAGTTACTCTTTATTGAGCCTTGACAGTGTACAGGTTCGGCCTTGAGTATTATTTTATTTTTCCTAAAAGCTCGTCAGAGTATTGTTGTTCTCTTCTTGATGACCAAAATTTGGAAAGTAAGTAACATAAAGCCAGGCTATAAACAGCTTTGTGGACCAGATGGTTTTAGTCTGAAGTAAGCAGCTTGCCCCTGGAGCCCCAGAACGGTCGCACACAATGTGAAAACACAAGATATCACAACTCCAGGCGGCGGGTCTGATTTGATTTTCAGTTTATCATCTGTCAACTGCTGCTACAGATGAAAAAACTGAGACTGACTTTTAAAGTTAATCAGTCACTGAGATAGAATTTCAATTGTGTGTGTACGTGTGTGTGTGTGTGTGTGTGTGTGTGTGTGTGTGTTTTTCAGTTTCCAAACTCAGTTTATGCTGCAGAGTTACATACTGTCTCAGGATCCAGAGTTATGAAGGATATTCTGTCTCAGAGCAATTGTCGCCGCCTCCAGCAAATTTGGGAAATAGCGTTCTTGAAAGTGGGACGCAGCAGAGGAAATTTGCTTTCTGAATTATGGCTTTTTCCTTAATAACTTTTCTTTTCAAAATACCCACAGGCGCCTTTCCAACACGGTTCTAGGTTCTTTAACAATATCACATAATTTGATCTTTTTTATTTTGTTAGTATGCATTTGCAGTAGACAGAAGTTTACATTCATCTTAGTGAGCAGGTACACGTACTTACCATGTCTTGAGTATTGTAATTATCTGAACCCTTTCCTTCGTCTCTCTTCACCTTTAAGTGGCATTTCCTCATTTTCACTCTTATTCTTGATCATTACTATTGTTGTTGTTGTTGTTGTTGTTGTTGTTATTATTATTATTAGTCCCTGTTTGTGACCTGTGTTCGCATTCACTGCAGGGATTGGTACAGGTAAGGGCCTGCTTTGCCTCTTTCTCTCTTCCTTCCCTTCACGCTGGGTGTCTCCTGTTTGAACAGCAACCCCGTGGTGCTGGTACTCTTCATAAGTGGCGACACTGAGCTGCAGCCCCTGTCCAGCGCTCTCAGCGAGGAGGTAGCGGAGAGAGCAGAAGTTGAACTCACGCACCCGGGGCCACCCCTGGCTGAGCTGGGCACCTGCTTCCTCTGCTGCCTCTACCTGCCCCCTTCAGAGGCAAGCGCGACACAGCGTCACCACCTCCTCGTGGAGGGCCTGTCTGCCTCTGCATTTCCTCTCCCGAGTGACGAAATTGTGCTCTTTTCCTTCCCTACACAGGAAGCAGGAGCCTCGTCTAGCATCCCAGCCTCCTTCGAAGCCACAGCCCCAGTCTCTGTTTAGTATTTGGAGAGCAAGAACCACTCGTATGAAGGGTAGAAACATTATTAAACCTAAACATTGGTTGTGGGATTAGGGAAAATTGGAGTTTCGGATTAATTTCAATGAACTAGAATTGCTTAGACCTGTCTCTAGGCAAAACCGCAAAGCTCTTTCACTAACCCAACTGCAGGCTTCTAACCACCTCTGGCTCCTCGGCTTTCCTCCCCCACAGCCAGTCAAAGGTGTAACCGGATCCTCCTGCCTATCAAGGCAAAGCCCCGTCGCCAGTCTACTGCCCTACGGGCCTTGCCTATGTTTTTATTTGTGTTTAATTAAATCTGTACACAAAAAGAAGTCCTGCCTGGAACTTGTTTTCCTGCCAGGGACGACTTCTTTTTGATGGACAGTGAGCCAGGCTTTCAAACTTCAGCCTCCATAAGCAGCCTTTTCTCAGATTACACTTGTATATATAGCAAAACACATATTCTTTTACAATTGTCCCTTGTAGGGCTAGCAAGTCTAGTCAGTCAATTGGCTTCATTTGCCTCAATATATGCTAAGGAAGGCTGGTTAGCTGCAGTTTAAGAAATCAATGAGCCAAGCCCAACATTAGTGCATTTGAAAACCTCAGATTCTTTTTATTTTCAAAATAGTTTAGAGCAAGGAGCCAAATGGTGACATGGTTACAGGGTTCTTATATTGACCTGACAATTTTTTTTTTTTTTTTTTTTTCTGGAATGGGGAATTGAGCTCAGACCTTTGCACTTGCCAGGAAAGCACCTTATTCCACTGAGCCATCTCCCCAGCCAAACTTTTAATAAACTTGACAAACTTTTAATAAACACAGGGTGACCTCTACAAGGCCCAGGCGGAATAATCCTAGCAGAGCACCTGGCTCTGAGTAAGGTGTCCAAATGTCCCAGCTTGCTTGTGAATGAGGGGCCTTCAGGGCAGCGGACTTTTATGGCTAAAACTGGGAAACAAGGCAAGCTGCATGGAATCAGCGCCCCCATGTTGGAATCTGGAGCTGAGGAATGGCCTGGGCTAAGGATGCGGAGGGGAAGTTAAGAAAGATGTAGCTGGGAATAAGAAGCGAGGAGAACCACCTTCTGCCCAGGAGCTTCCTAATACCACCAATAATAATGGCAAATAATTACACATCAGTAGCTTCCTCCAAATAACTATAATTTGTTACCTCAAGGGCATTTATTGTTTTTGGGAAGGGTTTCCTTAAATCCCAACTTTGGGCCTTAATAGTTGACACATATTCTTTAGAACTTCCTTGGATCATGGAGCATAATATGTATATATGACATATATCTCGGGGGCATGTACTGTCTAAATTTCTTCCTCATTGAAGCATCAGATGGTATTTTTTTTTTCCATTGTTGGAAGTTTCCTAGCACCAGGTTATGTTTTTGCTTCTGGCTCACTGTGTGAAGGAAATCAGGTTAGTAGTCTATGCTACAGATTATATTATAAATGATACACCATTGATGCCCTATCATGGAACATGATATCATAGATATAGAACAGAAATAATTGGAGAGACTCATCAAATACCTCTGTGTAACATCGGAATACGATGCAGGTTAGTAAGTGCAGTTTAAACAAAAGTGGCCTGGTTTAAACATAGCAGGTTTATGGTGATAACACTCACGTTCAGTGTTTTGTTTTGTTTTTTTTTTTAATTTCAGGGTTGATCTGATATTCTGAGAGCTTGAGGCTGTTCAAAAGTTTGGCTTGTAGAAAATTTCATGTAAGCAATCTAAAATTTTGTGAAAGAACTGTTGGGGTATAAGGTGGGCACTTAAATTTCCTATTTCAATTTATGTTACAGATTAGGGGAGTGGTCAGTATGGTTGTCCATTTGTTTTGCCTGAATATAAAGAAAATTAGATGTACTTTGAATGGGAAAAACACATACATAAAAATAATTACCAACCACTGAGAACTTAGCCTTTATTGTCACTGTGCAGATAGGCGTACAGTTCTGGTTCTTCTCTTACAGAAGTCTTCACTTAGAAAATGAATTACTTTTTTTTCTGGGTTGTCACTGTGGATTTAAATACTTATGTAATATCTTCCTCAGGATTGGGTTCAGTATATATCACTT